GCCAAGGCGGTGAGGGTATCGGTGTAGGAGATGTGAAGTCGAGAAGGTTGCTGTTTGCAGACGACCTTGTCTTACTTTCATTTTCTGAAACTAGTGTACGGTGCTCCCCAGAAGAGTTCGCAGCCGAATGCGACGTGACTGGCATACGTGTGAATGCATCTAAAACGAAAAGCCTAGTGCTTTCTCGTTTTCCTGTCCGTTACTCTATTTTGATGAATCGGGAGGCAGTGGAGCAGGTGGAGAAGTTCATGTACCTCAGAGTTGTATTTATTAGTGATTGAAAATTGGAGCAAGAGATCGACTAGCGAATTTTGGTAGCCAGTGGCGTTCTGCATGAACCTAGCTCGACCCATTGTGACTAAAACAGAGCTGAGTCTGAAAACTAGGCTCTCGGTGTTCAAGTCGATCTCTGTCCCCATGCTTACCTACGGTCATAAATCATGGACCATCACTGAGAAACTTCGACCCCGGGTACAAGCTGCTGAAATGAACTTTCTTAGACGAGTCGCTTGCCTTGCGCGTCTCGACATGGTCCGGAGTACTGATATCCGGAAGAGTCTTGGTATACCTCCTTTGCTTCTCCACATTGAGAAGTCACAGCTGCGATGGCTTGGGCATGTATTGTGAATGCCTCCAAAATGGAAGGCTAAGCAGCTGTTCCTTGCAAATCCGACTGACAGAATGCCGTGGGGTCGGCCAAAATTATCCTGGTGCAGATTTATGGACGGAGTCTGTTCCAGACTCTAGGTGTGCTCTGTCGAATCTCAGACTCTGGCACAGGATCGGGAACGTTGGAAGCTGTGTCTGATGCGTCTGCCTCGGCGACCCCAAATTGGAAGCGGCGATAGAAGGTGAAGAAGAAGTTGATAAATTTTGTAACGTGGAAAATGAAATGAAATGTACGCAAATATTGGATCTGTTTGATGGCAGTTTAGTATGCTAAACTACGGCGCAGTAGTTGCCTGTTAATCTTGTTGATTGAATAACCAGTGCTGCAAAAGTTGTACAACACCTGAACCGTATGCGACACTAGCTTAATATTTTGTTGATCTTGTTGCCAACGTTAAGATTCGAGTCACTCAACTGAATTCCCTTTATTCTTGAGATAATTCTTAGTAGCGTATTCGTCAGCTTGGGATTGCCTGAATAGAGTTCACCAAATCAGTCTCCGCTCCATATATATCAAAAGATGTAAGAGAGCTAGTGACTGGCTTTATCTGCAGGTTTTTAAGCAATCAGCCTCCTGATGTCTAAAAATTATTCATCGATTCATTTATTTATTTTCATAATCCACTATTCCTTTGGAGTTATGAAGGCAGTTTCTGGGCCCTCTCCCAATGACATCGATCCTCCATTACTGTAAGTTCCTCTATCTGAATTCCACGGAATCTATTCGACTAAATGTTAAAATTATAGCAATCGATTGACCCAACGTTACTTTGTCGAATGCTTCTAAGATGTTTTCATTCTGTTCTTTTTAGCATTATGCCGCAATAATGAAGTACGTGAGCCGTGGCCCTCTTCTGGTCAACGTTTATATGCACAATCCCACTGTGAGTTCTCGATCATATATGGATTCGCTTTTGGCTTTCTGGCCCGGGCTACAGGTTACAACCAAGCGCGATTTTACCTGATCATGTTTGGTGTTTCAGGTTCTAAATGGCGATTTAAAAGCTGCTATTGAAACACACGAAGTACTTTACCAGCTAATCGAAAAGCACAAATTTTTGCCAGAAGTAACGAGTGTTTGTCGCTGTGATCCATATAGAATTTGATTTTCAGGCATTTACTCAAGATTTTGACATTCATTGGACATACCATCCGCTAAGACCAGAATTCGTTGAAAGCACATACTTTCTGTATAAAGTAAATATTTCATTTCCACAGGAAGCTTAATTATAGAGTTCTTGGCCATACTCGGTTAGCGTATCTATGTCAGTGGAAAGTCAAACTTGCACTCGAAAGTTCATGAGTTCAATTTTCCCCTGTAATCACAAGGTTCATCCTTTTGAGATAAATAAATGAAAACGAGATTGTTTGAAGGGAGCAGAGACTGCACTCTTTAGTGCTCATCAAGCTGTAGCACTGGCTTAAAAATATGACGCTCCTAGCTGACGGCATCTTGACAAAGGCCAGTGCCCGAGCATGCATTTCATACAGAAAGTACTCAAGTCATGCAGAGGTTGGAGAAACCGATATCTTAGAGGTAACAAACTCTTCTATGGTTAGACTCAGAAAAATCTGAATAGAAACATCTCTCTCGTTGTTTTGTAATTCAGCTTTGGTGTCAGTTTTGTGTAGAACTCAGTTTTGTTGTCCACTTCATGAAGAACGACGTGTTTAAACGGGCAAAGGCCAATGCAAGAGAACACATGTCAAAGTGCGGTATAGTAGGGCTTATTATAGCTTATTATTTTGTCATAACCATCTGTCATAAATTCTGAAGCGGTCGGCTTTAAGGCAGAGAGGAGTTAACTGACTCCTTTAGCTCTTTATGCTAATCTGTCTAGCTGAAGAAGATTTTGGTGACAAATCCGGAATAAAGGATCGAGTGCTACTGTCAGTAGTTTTCCCCATTGAATGATTGGTGAAAAATTTTATGTTAAGTTGCAAGCGGGGTGATGATGAATCGACTAGATTAAATGAGGTTACTCTAACTAAAGATATTCAGTAAATGAATACGTCATTGTCATGCCAAGGCTGGAAATACAGCTCACCAGTGTTGTTCTAAA